CAAAGATATTCATTTCAGATAAGCATAATTGCTCGGTGGATCAACTAGTCAAAGACCCAACCATGCACCTGAAATGAGTTGAGACCATTGCATATTTTCATGCAGTAATCCCTTCTTGCTCCAATTTTCCATGTTACTCTTCCATGGTGCACCGTCAAGCAAAGTAAAAACGCCCCAAAAAAATCCAACGCCATGAAATCCTTTTAAGTCAACTGTAACATTTGTGTTGCGGTATTAATAAATGTTGCATGCTTGGACTGAAAAGCTCAGATTAAAGTGTCTGGTTTTTTTTCTTAGCAAGTCTTCCCTTTCATTTCAGCAGATGAAAAAAACAGCATGCTCCCAGAAGCCTCTGCAACATGACAGAGCGGCTCCTCTGCTACATCTCATCTGTAAAGAAATCCCTCTGTTCTCGATGAGTGGGCTTAAGCATGTGTACACAACTACCACACAGTGACAGGTAAGGTTTCCCAGTGCACAGTTTTGACAAAGAAAATGAACTGAAGTACAATATGGTGTAAAATGGCCAGAAGACCACACATATGCTTTGGGACAGAATGGCTGGCAATGTAATGAACCAAATTTTTTAACTAGCTCTAGCGACCTGTCAAAGACATGCCTATCGGCATTCATCAGCTGGAGGTAGTCATCTGTATTTCAGGATACTTCCTGCCTGCAGCTCCCTCTCAGATACACAGAGCTGTCTCTCTATTTGCCTGATGACTCAACAGATTTAGATACATAACACAATCAAAACGCCATCAAGCTTTACTGAAAGCTGATAACAGCATAAGTACATTTAGGGATCTCCATGTTTTACACTTTTTCACATGATTATATCGTCTGCTCATCATCCATCAAGGAAACAGTGACCTTCATCCCTTCATATAGCGTTCAGATATTTTTGTTTTCTGCTGTCACTACCCAGTCTTTGTCCTACACTACAGGTTTAACGAAGCTGCAGGCTCTCTGCTAAACAGCTTCTGCTCAGCCTCGTTATTGTTTATGTGAAAGAAAATGCAGTTCTCAGAGTATACTGCACTGACATCACTGACTTTGATGGTCAACATGTTACATTTGCGAACAACAGTTGCTATTTGTAGGTCAAACTTTTGCCAAATCTTAGCCATTATGTCACATCCATCAGGAATTTATTATGCAGCTGACAGCTGGCACATTAGCTTCGGTTTGATTGTGGCCATATGGCCAGTGGTGAGGAGCTGCCATGACCCACAACACCCCTGGTAAGATTCCCATTACAAACTGTTCTTCGGAAAACCAACGCCTACAAAAACATGACGGTCGTGCAGCTCACATTACTGCCTGCCAAGCAGCTGATTACAGTTTATCACATACATATTCAGAAACATGGTGTACCTGTAAAATGTGGCCCGAGCAGGGAAAGCAACTCTATGTGCGTTCTGTCCATGTGAATATCAGCAAATAAAAGCAGTCTTCACTCTCTTCCCTCCACTCTAGTCAATCCTAGAATTGCTTATAACGGCTGCTCAATGGGGCAAATTCAACAATGTGAACACAATAGGTTAGTGTAAAAAAAGTATGAGATTTTCTTATTATAACCTCCAGACAAAGGTGCTTTCATTATAACCTTTTGACCAGCAATTAGCCCTAACTTATAGGGATGTGTTGACCTTTTCTCTCCTGGTACCTAACCCCAAGCAGTCTTACTAATACCAGTGCCCATTTGCACCCCCCCATTAAAAATTTGCATTACACATCTTACTGCATGGATCTCATTGAAATTCCAGCTCCTAAAAGTTCAACACAAGCACAATCATTCTGTATTACTGAGCTTACAGATATAATACGATTTCAAGCTTCTGTGTGCCTTTTCAAAATGACTTTTCCTAAAAAAAAGTGCAGAAAATGTACTTTTCAGAAAAAGTTTGATGCGTCAACCTTTAATAAAGGCAACTGAATGCCAATGGCCACTTTTATTACCTACACAGGAAGGGACATGCAGAACAGTGTTTCGTGCCCCATCTTACTGATATGTGATCTACTGTATAAAATCAGTATTCAAGGCCAGTTTGAGGAATCTCTTTAAAGTGAACAGACACATTTCTAGAAGTAAATTCATCATTCGCTGAGAGGAAGCGAACGCCTGTGTGCTTGTGTTGGTGTGTGCGTGCGTCTGGGGGTGTATGCTTTCACTTGAGGAAACGCTAACAAGACTCAAGACTGCTGATGGACACATTGGCAGAGGCGGGATTTGCCCCTGTGACCTTTCAGCTATAGCACAGTGGCTATAACTGCAGAGGCGCTGCGGTGCTCTGAGGAGTTGACAAGTGCTGATAGAACTCTGCATTTATATTAAAGGTTTAAGCCTATCTTCATTAACAAACAATAAGTGAGGCTATGGACGCTCAATTTCTTGATGAGAGATTAAAAAGAAATTAGATAAGGTGCATTTGCACTAAAGACTTCTCATGACTCTGAGGGTACCAGCTCACCAGGGAGCTGCCCGGAGAACTACAAACTTTCAGGGCGCTTGTTTTTTTCTGCTTGCATTCGCACAGCCAATTATATTGACCTGTTTTTGCTTGCTGTTGTCATCTTTGTGAATGGTGGCACGCCCCACTCTGTGATGTTGTTTTAGCTTGCCGTGCACTCTTTAGTTTTAATTACCTGAGGAACACGCCGCAGCTGTAGTGGCTGGTGTGGAGACCCGCGTGTACGAGTAGGTCAGATTTACCACCTTTTAATTGATAGATGAGTGAAGCTCAAAGATTCCCAGATTATAGACAGGAAGCTGCTACAACGGCTTGAAAAGATGAGACTTTCTGGAGAAAACGCTTCAACTTCTTCTGTTTTACATCAGCACTGATTCAGCACACATAACATCCATCATTAAGAAGAAGACTGCAGGGAGTCAAGCGCCAGCATGAACAGTTATGGGGCTGTGATGTGGTCACAGTTGACGCAGGTAACAACAAACAGGAAGGTGACGACAGCAGAATCGGAAAGGCCGAGTTTCAACCAGAAAAGTTTTTCAGCAAAGTGACGACAACCGGCCCAAGAAGGAGGTTACACACTAAATCTAATCTGTAGCTCTATCCACTATCTATCCACCTGCTGTAACTTTATTATGCTAACCTGCACAGACGGATCAGCAGAGCTGTGTCGGTGCAGCTCCACAAAGTCAGTGCGATCTTTCACTTTCTTCTAATCCTGTCTCCGTTTGAGTTTTACTGATGCCAAATATATCACGCTGACAGAAAAAATCTCATATTTTTCACGTGTTCTTATATGTAAGAATAAAACCTGGACTTCACTGTTGATTTCAGTTTTTGCCTCCAACTTTCACTCAGACAGCTGATGTTTACCTGCAATTTTGTCAAACCTGCAAGGTTTGCCAGAAAGTTACAATCAACTAAAAGATTTTTCTATGAAACGTTGTACTTTGTGGACTGACACGAAAATGGATGGGGTGGAGTCCGTCCTCCAAAAAAGGACCTATAAAAAAGTACCAGGAGTATAGCATTTAAATTCTGTGACCCTTTAAAACCGACAGGATTGTTAGGATTGTTAACCAAAGGCCATTTTTGAACGGCAGTACAGTGAATGCGCTCTCATCAGCAGCCAAACAAGCACAATTGTTCAAACACCACTTTGTACCTTCGAAACCAACCTTAGTTGCCGCTCTACGCCCACACAGTTTAATATTTGCACACTACAGGCAGCAGATTAAGAAATTTGGGGAAAGAGACTGTTTTAAAAGCGCGCTGCTTTCATGTTGTGCCGCTTGTTGAACAGGGACGGACACCTGAGAAGGTAAACAGTGATTTGTTTTGACTACTCTTCTTATCCCTGGCGAAAAGTGCTACCTCACAGGATAGCAGTTTACAGAAGCGCCGTCCGTGCTGTTTGCGAATTGATGTGACTCTTTTTTTTTCTTTTCCAAACCCTAGTGCTCTTGTACCAGTTTAACGTGGATAAAGGCGAAACAAATATTTTCAATTACGGCTCACAACAAACAAATCAAACTGCAGGTAGGATCACATGCCTGAAAAGAATTTTCATAAGCTCTCTCCATATGTCACAACAGAGACGCCAGCTGGAGAGCTATTTCCACTTGCACATTTCACATATCACTGCTCAAACTTCAGTGCTCCTGACCCTCACCTCTTCTATTAATACTGTGCTGCTTGTGCGGAGGTGTGCAACATTATGTTTTCATAAATTAATCCTTACCTTGGCTAGGCTTAAAGCAGAATAATTTGTTGTGCATTTTCAATTAATCTGATACCTGCCGAGGGGTGTGTGTGTGTGAATGTAGGCCAGGAGACAATGTTGTGAAATAAATATTAGGATTAAGAGAGAGACATTTTTTAATGAAATCTTCACATCAGCCTAGAAAAGAAACATAACATGGGTGGGCCCATTAAAATCCCTAAAAAAATGCACGCTGCCCGAGATAAAGCCCAATGCAGACAACCTCTAAAAAGCTCAGTGCCAGCACATTTGTGTCGAAAACTAAAATTCACAACATTATCGTCTGCTAAGCAATGCATAGTGCATATATAGCATATCAGCATGTGCAGGATGTAGTTAAAAGTTATCAGAATTGGATCTCTTTTTGTTTTGCCTGCTGCGACAAAATCCAGAGAGGCCTGATTAAAGATACTTTGCCTCCAGTAATTTAAACCAACCGGCTTTTTGCTGCATGGCCTGCGGGCATACAATGTACCTTAAAATGTCGGTTTCCCGTCACCGAAGCAATTTCTCAAGCCTTTGCCTTTGTGAGCAAGACATAAGGTGTTAGATCAGAAAAAGGCACAGGACGGAAGCTGCAGCTCGCTTTTTGTGATGCTTGAAAACTCTGCGCCTACGATTTAAACAACCAAAATTGAACTGCAGATATGTGCAGACAACTGAAACACGTGCATGCTTGGAAATGGAACAATGTAAGTTATGATAATCACCAACATATACATATGCTACAGACAAAGTAAAGAACACGCATGGCCTGCACGCACCTTTTACAACGAGGTTGAGGAGCTTTGGCCGTGGGTTACGCTCACTCTGAATCGAGCATGTGTAAAGGCCATCATCAGTTACATCCACTTTCTGTATCTGAAGGCTGTACTCGTGTTTGTCTCCAACACTGGACACTATGGACACACGTGGATCCACAGACCACTTGTCATTCCCTGCGAATATGATGCTTGAGCGGTTCAGCCAGGCTCCTTTAGAGATCCCATCCAACAAGTAGCACCTGGATCAACAAAAAAAGACACATTTAGATTTACTTGGAAAAACACATCCGTCTCATCATCTTTGCTGAAGAATGTCTTTGACTTATTAGCAATGTCTAGAAAATGTCACCTTTCTTGACAAATATTACTGTCTTCCTATTTAGAAGACACCTCCTGCTGTTTATTATTTTTTTAACTCAGAAAACAGGTGAAATCTTTAATGTGCCAAAAAGCGAGTCTCACAAAATACAGAAATCTCATCAACTTGACAAAGTGATTTAACATGTAAGAAGTTCAAGGTTGCTTTGAGATTTGATTTGTTTTGAGACTAAATTATCCCAAAGCCATCAGAATAACAAAGACTGCGCTGTTGTTGACACTCTAAACAAGTTCAAAGTGAAATTCTTTGTCACTTTTTCAGTGGCATTTTAACAGTTAAGTGTTAATAGGCATCTTTATACTTAAACATGTTGACTGACTGAAGGTGCGTCTGACTTAATTTAAGGCAAACTGATGAGTTTTATGACAAAAAGACACAAACTACAGCAGTCAGAAAAGAAACACTTGGAACTGTACTCCAGAGTCCGAGCAGATTGTGAGTGCCTGTTGCCCTAACACACACCTATGTGCGAAGAGCAGCACTGTTTACAGTCTAGAGATTCAAACCTTCAACCTTTGCATCACCAGGTAAGGTTACTTACTGACTGCAATGGGGAGACATGGTTGTCAACACACCTTGCCAGAAACTTAGACAATGACATGGCGTGTGCCAAACTGAGATATGTTTGTGTCTTTGAAGGCAGGAATCTTAAAGTATTCAAAATGGGAAACAGGGATGGGCAACATTATAGGATGATATTTCAAGGAAATTAGATGTTTCTGGTATTTCTGACAGTATAGAAAAGAAAATAGTGAACGATGCTTTATCAGTGATTGCAACATGCAGGAAGCGGCATCTTTTACAGCAAGTAAAATAAAGGGCATTTCCTTCCTTCTTTTCCAATCAGTTACTGTTAATGAAAACTACCTCATTTGAAGTGTGAATCTGCTGCTACAGGGTGCCAGCAAGGGCAGCCTTGTGGTGGTATATTAATGTGTGTCTTAAAGTGTCATATTTAGATATCATTGCCATAGCAACACCTTGTGTTTGCAGAACAACAAGACAAGCCCAGGCATGTCTGCCAGCAAGAGCCACATATTACGTCTCAAATGACGATTTAGTAGCTAAAAGGAAGTTACTTGAACAACGGTCATTTGCAAAATGTGCAAGAAAACTGCTCCTGCAGTCGATTCTGTTCCACCACTTGAGACAAACACACAACATCGTGCACAATCAGGCAACAAAGAGATACTAGCAGCTGGTGATGTGCGACCCAAATGTAAACAATGAACTGAACCAAGCATTGCTGGAGCACTTGATAGCAGCGCTCCAGGAAGAGAAAACGGTGAATGGAAGTTACTGGCACGGTTACTTTAAGCAGCTGGTTCAAACGTTTGACCCAAGATAAAACAGTTTAGGTCAAATATATTTTTCAATATTATTATGTGATAATATCCTGAAGAGTTCAAAGATTAAGTTAGTTTAGTTATTCTTAAATGCTAATTGTTCAATAATATTTAGGCTACTTTGGTCCACACGTTTGATTTAGGCTGTCACTGGAATTATTACTGTGTCACTGATATTGCATATCATGCTGTTGGTGGTGTTACTTTATTTCAACAGATTCACCAAATTATTGTAATTATTGTATTAATATTGTAGGAACCCAGGTAGTGTTTTTCCTGGAAAAACTGGGATATTGCATGTTGGAGCTTTTTAACCAGTAACTGAGCTTTTTAACCAGTTAATCAGTAATTTCTGTTCACCATCTGATCTTCCTGTCATACAGAGCACATCTAGCAAGTGCTCCAGCCATGCTCATTTAAGTCATTTGTTTACTTCTGGCAAATCACCAGGTGCTAGAATCACTTCCTTTGTACTGGTTGTACTCGACAGTCTGTACACCAGCCTTCAAAAAGCACAATGCCTTGTTGGAGGTAAAAGTAGCTCTCTTTTTAATACATATGTGTGTGTGTGTGTGTGTGTTTATTGTTTGTTTAGGTTCATTAAGTTATTCTAGCTCATTTGTTATTATATTACCCTTGTGTTAAGTCTCCCTTGCCCTTCATGTGTTTATGTCTGTGTGTCTTATGTTGTCAAGTTCATGTTGTCGTTTCTGTCATCTTCCCCTGTACTCGGTCTCCCTGGTTCGTGCGCCTACCCGTTATGTGTCATGTCTGTGTGGCTCTTGTTGTCTAGTTCGTTTCATGTCTATGTCTCTGTGTTTCCTGTTTTATTTTGAAAGAGTCTGTTCTTTGTTCACTGCATTTAATTTACTCTCCCCTGTGTTGTCATTGTTTCATTCTAGTCAGCTGTGTGCCCATGTGTCTCCACTTCCCCTGATCACCTCATGTGTGTATTTGGTCCTCAGCCTTGCTGTGTTCAGTGTCGCGTCGTCTGTGTTCTCACCCACCATGTTTGTATTCATAGTTCTCTGTGGCATCATAATGCCAGTTTCCCAGTTTAGTTATAGTTTAGTTTCATCACTGTGCTTCTGCCTTGTTTGACCCACATGTCATCAGCCAAAATAAAGGCTCGCTTTTCGTTTGAACTCAGTTTCGTGTCTGCACCTGAGTCCTCCACACACTCTCCACTCGGTCTGCCACTGCGGATCGTGACACATATATACGTATATGAAAACATTATACATGCCCAAGTTTCATAGTGTTAGATTTTATTATACAGTAGTGTCTGTGTTTGCAGCACTAACTGAAAACTGCATCGACAAACCAAGGCCAGTCATTTTTGGCAGTTTTCAGTGGATCACTTTGAAATATTGGAGGGAGGAGTTGAACAAGAAAGAGCTCCCACAGTGTGCATTTGATGTAGAGTGCAGGTACACCACCACCACCACCACCTTCTGTCATGGTCCTGGGCCATGTGGGCCCAGTATTCTTAGTTTCTTGTATTTTTGTATTTCGTTCCTTATTTAGGCCATGTTTCCTGAGTTGTCCTGTTATGTTGTTCCTTATTTGACTTCCCCTTGTGACTCTTATCCCCTGTGTGCCCCTCTATGTATCTGTGAGCCCTCATCTCCCCTCCTTGTTTCATTCCATGTTTCCCCAGCACACTATGCCCGTGCTCTCTCTCTCCTCCTGTTTGCACCTGTGTACTTCCTGTTTTACTTTGACAGTCTCCCGTCAGTGTTGTTTACTCCTGCCATGTCTTGTTCTGTTTATCTGTGTCAGCTGTGTTCCCATGTGTGGCCGCTTCCCCTGATCATCCCTCTTGTGTATTTAGTCTCTGTGTTTCATGTAGTCTGTGTCGCGTCGTCTGTGTTACCACCCCCTGTGTTCCGGATCTCCAGCCATAGCTTTTCCTTAGTTTATGTCCAGTTTAGGTTTCTGTTTGAACTATTACTCTTATGCTGCCCTCACTCTGTTTTGTTCCTTTCATCAGCCAGAATAAAAGGCTCGCTTTTGTTTCACTCCACTCCTGCATCCTCGCTTGTGTTCGCTCCTGGGTCCACCACACACATTTCCGCACGGTCTGCGACACCTTCTTAGATAGGTAACCAACTTCCACTCTCGTTGAGCCCTGCTGTTTATAGACTCATGCTATGTGCAGCATAAGATCACATCACGGTCCCACCCAGAGTGGAAAAGGCCAGCTATTGCCTGATTTTCTTTTCCAATTACAACACCGTAGTTTGTGTTCCTGCCTCCTGTATTGTGTGATCTGCAGTTTTAAGCCTCATGTACAGCTAGCAGAAGGAACTACAGGTACAGCTGAATCAACAAGGACTGAAATCTTTTAAACACTGAAAACGAGGCAACTGGAACACAACAAAAATAAATTAGTATTACTTTTTCTGTTCAATGTTGCAATTTTGATTATTTAACATGATTAGTTATAAAAGCATACACCGTCATCTCTGATCAAAACTGGCACAACATCAACCTTAAACAGACAGGTACTCAGGTTGGTTCCATGTAGAACAGAGATCTAGCCACACGTCTCTTGCAAAGTGAGAAATATCAATCAAATTATTCTGAAAGAATTAAATGCATGTGTCTTCATTCTTTGTAACTAATTTGCTAAATGATTGCAGACAGAGAACCATTAACCCTTTATTCATGTACACAGATTATTATTACCAGACAATGTTTTTTCACATGTAAACGACACTTTAAAGCTGGTAAGGTTTAAGCCTATCTGCATTAACATTTAAATTCTCTATCATTTTTTCCATTGTGAAATGAACGTGTTGGGCTGTTACATCCACTGTAACGCCATAAGCCTTCCCCTGATGTCAGGATCATAAACCCTGTGATGCCGCTGTTTTTGTCTGAAGTTGGTTACCTCAGCAGGATGAGAAATGAACCCCAGAGAAAGAGATCGTGAATTTGAGTCAGGGGTGAAAGTGGGCTGGAACAATCTGTAACGGCGTTCTGGCACCTTCAATTAACAAGCATTTAAATCTGATAGGCAGGTTAATGTTTATGTTAATGAGTTCATTTTTTGTGTCCTGTAGTCTGGAGTTACTCCAGTGACAGCAAAGAGATACTTTCTCAATAATAAGAAAATAATCATATCCCACAGGACTGCCCATTTTTTCCTCTCATGCATGTGAGCTGTTCATGGTGTAGATGTAAATGCAGTTGGTCGCAGTACTTCAGGATTTAGCTGGACGAGAAGCATAAACAGAATAAAGTTCTTTGAAGTTACAGATAATATAAAATGCAAATAAATGTTCTTTATTTCCCAGGGAGAGGAAAAGAAAGTTTATAAGTGTCAGAGACTGAGAAAGATGTAAGAAACACAGGAAAGGGAATGGAGGTAAAGACTTCTCGGCACATGAAATCTGATAAAGTGGAAATTTAAACCTTTCATGTAATGTCCTCATTCCTTTTAGAGCTTTTAAATCAGATACTTGAGCTATAAATTATGTGTGGATTAAATTGCGCTTTTCCATAGTAC